GTCCGAGGAGTTTTGAGTAGCTTGAAGGCACCTTGTAAATCACTCGGAAGGCGTCTTTGGCATCCACGCGATGGTCTGAGTCTACCAGGTGTGCTATAATTGAACTATTTATAACCTTAAGTTGGCCCTTCCCTAACCATGCTGGAATGTGCTCCCTTTCTCTTTTTGGACAAGCGCCGGCTCGTGCGACCAATATATCCTGCCCCACAGGAACAGGTAAATGAATAAATGCACATTGAGGTGGTCTGGGCCGGCAGTTTATCCTTGATCTCTCCGTATAGGATGGAAGTAGTTGAGAACAGTACATGGGCGTTGGCTGCTGGGACGGTAGTTGCTACGGCTTGACTCAGGAGCCTCCTTCATTACCATATAAATGTAAAGGCCTGACGAGAATTTTTGTTCTATTATTTCCTGTTTTTGTCCGATATATTGTTTTTATTTTCGCTCCCGCACCCTGCACTGCCCCATCCGTATAACTTATATTACTGTCCGTCCCGTCTGGGGTTTCTTGTCCCAGTTGTGTTACTTATAATAGAGGCTAACCCAAAAATAACGTAAGGGTACTCGTTCTTGACTACCTGAGTCTCAAAAAATAAAAAAATAAAAACTCTGAAAAGCGACGTTCATCTGAAAGCACTTTGGTTGTATTTATGCGATATATAGAACTAAAGCACTGCTTGTGTCCCACTCCAATCACTATTTGGGCGGTCAATAACCAGTTATAAACCACTAAACCCACAATTTTGATTAATAGTGAAATGCAACTTATTATTTAAAAATATTTGATAAACTACAATAGCTTTTTGTTATCAGGAAATAATTTAAAAAGACTGAATATTTGTCTATCGATGGCCATCTTTAAACTAACTGACGCAAATAATTCTCCTTTAAAATCACTTTTCAGAAAGGAAATCCTAAAGGCGTTAGGGAGATAAATACTCCCAATGTGGGAAAGCCAGTTTCCCGCCGCGCTCAGAAGGTTATCGAACCACCGGTCGATGAGGATGACATACGATTGCAGCAGTGCAGCCGACTCCTGAAGAACCTTAAGTCACTGGCTCTGTTACCGGTGGATGCAATGCCACATAATCAGCAGTTTGCATTCCATACGCCAGAACATCGGGAAATTGTTGACATTACCCCGAATGACGTGATACCTAGGCCGTCGATGCTCGAGGGTTCAGAAGAAACCAGTTGGAAGCCCGCTACTGCCTATCTTGATTTTAAACAGAACGAACAGACTTCGCCGTTTGCAAGAAATCCCAGAGTGTGTGGATGTTCACTTTTCCTTTACGGTCGCCTGTCAAGTAACCGCCAATTCACCCCGGCAGAGGGTGACGCCGTACTTCCAGTTGTTCTTGAGCTGGACCTACGCCACCCCATCCTTGACACAATGCATTGAGTTGAACCTCAACGTAGTGTAGATTTTGCATTTACAGACCTAATGTATTGGAAACTGTACGCTACGTTTCTGGGCTCGAAATTCTTTTGATTTTTGTTTGCTTACAATGTACGTGCATCCTAATACATTTCAACTGCACAAGTGCATTGAAGCGATCATTTACATTTTCGGTTATAATTATGAATAGGAATGAAAAATCCAAATGTTTCGTGTATGGGAGGTGGGGGGGGGCAGTCTGCTCGCACGTTTCGATCATTAGGATCAAGCAAACGTTTAAAATACTTATTAATTAGGAACACTACTACCGCCAACAGCATAACCTTACGGATCGGCGCTGTTGTAAATGTGGCCAAAGGTGCAATATCATCGTCTACGTTAAGTCATGTGTGAGCCCCCAAGGAAGAACACGACAAGACGTGGACAAAGCAGAAGTCTCTGTACAAACCTAGTACATAATGCTTAAGCAAACGAATGCATAGAGATTTGACCAATAAGATTGTGGTTTCGAGTAAGACGCGACTCCATTGGCCTTGTGATTTATGCAGCTGGCGTATTAGAGTCTTGCACCGGCCGCGCTATGTGCGTTGTCACATGCACTCTGTGTGGGCGGAACGGTTGTCTG